GAATATAGGTAAGGTATATCAAAAGTTCTTTTTTAAATGATATTGAACTCAAGAATGTTCAAAGATCATGAGTCGAATGAGTAAAATAAGTGTTTAGAAGATGGACAGTCAATCTGAACATTTAATGTAATTTATATAATAAATTGTATAGAAGACCTGATTTTTTGGAACACCCTACATACAAGGAGTGTCAAACTCAATTTCATTGAGGGCCACATCAGGGTTGTGTTTGACTTGCTGGGATGGACTAGGGGGCATGGCCAACTCTTATGTCGGGGAGACCTGTGGTGGCCCTGGTGGGGGGGGGACCCATTGTCTCTAGCAGAGGAAGTCAAAATCAGGGAGAGCTCCAAACTCTTGTCCTCCAGAGAAGGACTTCCCTCTCTCCCTCCTTTCTTCCTCTTCTTTTTTCTTCCCTCTTCATTCTCCTTTCTTCTTCCTTCCCCTCTTTACTTCTTTTTCCTTCCTTGTTCTCTTCCCAACTTTTTGCTCTCCTTCCTTGCTGTCTTTCCAACTCTTTTTCTTTGTCTTTCCTCTTTCCTTTTCTCCTTTCTTGTCCCTTCTTGAATGCTCAAATGCAAAAGGGGAGATATTTCTCCTTTTGTTTTGCTTTGCTTTTAGTTTGTTTTACTATCCCTCTGCCAGCGAAAACAGAGCCCTGTTTTCGGCCTGGATGGCCTCCTGAAGCCTTTTGCCAGTGAAAAAGGAGTCCGTGCTCCCTCCCGGGCTCCATTTTCACTGGCAGAGGGTAGCAGGAGGTCATCCAGGCCGAAAACTTCCAAAAAAATCCAAGCTCCATTTTCACTGGTAGAGGCACCGTCCCCATTTTTCACAGCTGCCTCGGCGGCCAGAATTAAGCAGCCCACAGGCCACATCTAGCCCGCGGGCCTTGAGTTTGACACCCCTGCTATATACATTTATGCCAACACAGGGGTATTTAAGAATATATCAAACTTTGTATTATTTCTTCACATAATATAAGACATATAAATAAGATGCAATCCCAAATGCACAAGACCAGATTTCAGAAAAGTTTGGGAGACACAAATAAGGTAGCTAGTATAATATATCTACAGTTAACGAAAAGAGCAAAAGAGAATTTGCTTTTTTAATATTCTTTGACTATACAGATCATGCCACTGCCACAATAAGAAACATAATATGACAATATGTGCCAGAACATCTTACAGTAGATTAATGAATGGATAAACAATGTTTCACAATAGGAAAAGAAATGAGACAACAATCCATACAGTATTGTCAATATTGTCTCTATATTTAACTAGTATGGTGAATATACTGTATTATGTGGCAGAATATGAAGAAATTGTATCAATTTAAAATCAGAAGTCACCCCAGTACACTTTTTTTTATTATGACTGTATCCAATCAACACTTGTTCAACACCCATTCATTTTTTATCTTATTTTTTCATTTATTTTTTTAAAATATGTTGACTGGTGTTCCCCCCAAAACAGTAGCACACACACCCTTATTTATTTTTCTAACTATTTATTTGCACTTGATGTGAAATAATAAATTTATATTTCAGTTATTTACCTGTGGAAGTAGCCATAAAAATTTTATTGCTTTCTGAGAAACATTCAAACAGCATCTAATGTGCATGAGTCTTTAGAAAACTGTTGTTTAGATTGCATGAATATGTTTTTAAATAGCAAAACAAATAAGAGGTTGAAGAGGTCTTGAAGAATTTGTATCATCTGCATTATTTATGGTTCTTCCCCCAATCTTCATTCCAACATCAAACAGTTCCAGATTTAATTTCTGGAACTGTCTGTTTCTTCAACCTACAGATTGAGCAAAAAAGATGATAAAATACATCCCTGTCTAGCTCCCTCAGTGATTCTGAATCAATCTATGTCACCATAAAGTGTTCTCACTGTTGCCTTCTGATAATATACAATGATCTGATACAATGATCTGATGAGTCTGATGATCTGATGAGTCTGATCAAGAGTTGGGATACCAAAATCATGTAAAGCTGGCCATTGTATTCTACACAGTCAAAAGCTTTTCTGTAATAAATAAAGCACATATAAAGATTCTTCTGATACTCATAAGCATCTAATATTAGCAATGTGATCGCGAGTGCTGCACTCCTTTCTAAAGCCAGCTTATGCTCAGGTAACTCTTGATTGATGACGTTCTGTGGCCTCTGTTAAGAATCTTGCTTGCATGAGAAATCAGCAAGATAAGGCAAATCAACCTTAACCCTAACCTCTTATAAGGAAAATCTGTATGAAATGTTCTATAGGTAGCACTTCCCACTAGCAAGATTAGCAAAGATGTTTAAAAACATGTCCGGCAAGTGTTGGAAATGAAATCAGGTACCAGGCACATATTACCACACGTGCTGGACATGTGCAAAAAAAAAAAAAAGATGTGGGCAAAAATACATACATGGTTAGAAAAAATGTTAAAGCAGCATATAGATTATAAGCCAGAAATATTTTTGTTAGGTATAGTACCAGATAAGTATAATAAAGGGAATATTTATTTAATATTGCATGTCTTGACAGCATCAAGAATTGTATTTGTACAGCACTGGAAAAATGAAGAAACACCTACAGAAGAGGATGTAATTTAAAAAAATACTAGCTTGTGCAGAAATGGACAGATTGACATTAAAAATAAAAGAAAAAGAAGATACAGAATATTTTCAAACATGGGACTTCTTTTACCAATGGTTGGATAATAGAGGTAGAAATTAGGAACTGGAAAAGTATTATTATGTAAGCAAAATGATCCAGATACGCTCTTCACAAAGCACTTATGCATGTAAAGAGAAAATGTATAAGTAGGTGTTTTTTTAATAATTTTAACAGAATCTTGCTTGTGTGAGAAATCAGTGCAATCATGTGATAACTGGAAAAGTTTCTGCCATTCCATTTCTTTACTAATGGGATAAAAACAGATATTTTCCAGGTCTGAGGCCCTTGACGTGTAGTCCATATCTCTTGACACAGGGCAATGATGATGTCAACTGGCATTGGTCTTAATAAGGAGATGGCAGCAGGGGACTTTCTACTCTCACATCCCTCACCACCACCATCACCATTGCCTCCATGGCGAGCTCCAGGCTATTAGGCCTTCTGAGCATTCAGCAGTGGGCAGGGTAGGCAGTGCGGAGGAAGTGGCAGGTGGGACTTCCCTTGGGGGAGGTGAAAATGGGAAGACCCCAGCCACCACCTATTCCCCATCCACTCCCTGGCCACCACTACCACCAAACAGTCCAACCTCTAAATGGCCCAGAGATCAGCACAGAAGCAGCAGCAGAGGGGAATGTGAGAATGGGATTTTTTTTGGGGTGGGGGGAAATAATACAATTTTTCACTTTGCACAGTTTGAGCTTCATTTTAGCCACTAGCTGATGGTCTACAAGCAACACCAGGAAGTGTTTTAACTGAATCTTTCCAGTGTTCTTGGAATAAAATATAATCTATCTGATTTCAATATTGTCCATTTGGTGTTGTCCATGTGTGTAAATCTCGTTTGTGTTGTATAAATCATGTGTTCATTATGCTGAGATGATTTTCCTGGCAGTTGCACTAGGCAATCACCATTTTCATTCTGTTTACCTAGCCCAAAGTTGCTTACTATTCTTTTAACTTCTCCTTGGTCAATTTATGCATTGAAATCACCCGATAGGTAGATAGGTAGGTAGGTAGGTAGTTAGGTAGGTAGGTAGATAGATATAGATAGATAGATAGATAGATAGATAGATAGATAGATAGATAGATATAGAGGTATATTAGATATTACAGACGTTATGCTGTCACTGTATGATCTGTGAACACATTTAGCCACTTGTTGCTTATGCAGAATGAAACTCCTTTTCATCTGATATTGTTTCCAGAAAAATAAACCACACAATTGTGCGATTTGTATTATCCACTGCCTGTTCAGTGTAACCCACTGATGCCAAAGATGTTTATATTAGCTCAAATCATTTCTCTTTTTAGTTTCCCAAGGGACGACTCTAACATTCCATGTTCCAATTTGATATACCTTTGCATAGTGTAACCAATCTCTTTTGTCATGAGCACCATCAGTTGTCGGGTTTCCCAAAGGTTTTCCTCCAACAACTTCATAAAAAACTGACTACTAAAAGCTAACCTTTGCTCTTTTCCAGTAGCTTGATGGCTACCATCCATCCTGTTGGTTGTCCATATCTGTTGAGTTATTACCATAAAGTGTTCTGTTATTTTTTTTTTGTAGGATAATTCACCATTGCTTTCCCTAACACTCCCCATTTATCCAGGCTTGGGATTGGCATATGGTTGATTAATCAATCATTTGTCTGAGTTAATAAAAGATTAAAAGTCATTTTAAAAACTAAAATACAATCAGTTAAAATATAAAAATGTTTAAAAAACTGGCACTGAGAATTCCCGTGGGTTTCTGTTCCATGAATTCTGTTGTATTTTCAAATCGTATCTTTAAAAGTAATAAAATCAGAGCTAATACAGTGCAGTTTCTGGGCAACAGCTCATACAATATCTCTCTTGACTTTGTACCTCCTTGTCAGTATCCTCATTGATACTCTTGTCCAGTTACTAATAAAGACACTATGCAGTTAAAATTTTTAATATAGCTGCCATTGCAAGGTTGCAAACTAGGGATGGTGGAAAAAGAATACAGAACACTAGCTCTTCTTTGCCATTTAGTAGTCTTCTGAAATTTTGCAGCCAAGATAAGGTGGTCCCTAAGTTCAATTGCTTCTATTTTATCTGACATAATATACAAATATATTTGCTTGGTATTCAGCATACATTTACAACAATATAGCCAACTTGGTAACACCCCATCATGCTTTTTTTTGCTAAGCAGAAGAAACCACTACTTTTCATTCAAATGAATGGTAAGATGAATAATGATTCCATGTGATTTTTACACTCTTTTGCCATGACTTTCAAACTTTTCTGATAATATTTTTCCACTCACATTGACAAGTGCTGAAGAAACTCCGTACACCTTTGTCTTAAAAAGTAATTCACGAGATTGGCAATTATATAGTTTACCAGAAACATTCAGGAAACCACATCTGCATATGTGCATTTCGAATGATCCCAAGAGCTGATTCATTAAATGGGGGGGTCTTTCCCAGGAGGAGGCGCTGGCAGGCACATTTTACAGGTAAAGTTATGGAGGTGCGAGACAAAACACCTAGCGAGGCACACAATAAAGAGAGGTCTGCAGCTTGAAGACGAGGTAATCTGCTTCTGTTGATTGGCCGAGGTGAGAGGCGTAACCTCCTCGGCTGTGCAATGATTTGCTGAATCTCGCTTCACCGCGATTCGGACGATTATGGGCGGGACTCAGAAGGTCAAAATTGAAACAACCGCTGTTGCAATGAACAAGAAGTTGACAAAAGCGATGTAGAAGCACAGAGGGAAGTGAGCACAGCACTTTGTGCGACCGAGTACGAGGTAGGGCTGGTGAAGGGATATCCATGTCATAATTGTTGAAAGTAAAAAAGGGGATCATAGTTGAGCAGCGGATTTAGGTTCACCGGACGGACATTAGATGCCGGAGATATAGTTAGTCCCTGCGGTAAGCCGATGTCCTTTCGGCATAAATCATTGCGGCAGGCCAAGAAAAACGGAAGTAAAGATCCGGGCTTCTACGTTGACCCAGAAACAAAGAAATCATGAGATGCAATTACAAAAAGGGGCTTGCAGGCCTGCCGATACGCAAGGATCAGGAGAGGGCGGTGGAAATGTTGTGATCCAAGGATTCACGTAGGAATGCTTAGGTTTTAAAATGCAGAGGCATCACCTGAAATCACCACAGGAGTTTATTGGTACCGTGTGCAGGCTGGCAGAATAGTAAACGTTGCTGAATAAATTGGCATTTGAGAGGAATGGGAATAAGAAATCAGATCCTTGTTTTGGAATGCTTGGGGAGACAACATTTATGGTTGCTACAGATGTTCACCTGAGTTAGGTAAAAAGCATTTCAGTCAGCATTGTACCAGGAGCTTGGGAATGTCTTACAAGGGAAAGATGGAAGAGGATGTCAAAGTTAATACCTGAAGCACTGAAGCATGGGTTGCATTGATAAAGCAAACAAGGGGATCATCTTAGCTCTGAAAGTAGAAATCATGTAATGTGATTGCAGTGGTTGGCATAGAATATGACTGAATACTCCATTGGCATTGTCTGAGTGAGGAAATGGCATCTCTCAGCATAAATGGAGTAGGTACTCCTAATATAAACATCAAGATTAGATGCAGAAAAATTTATGTGAGGCAATGGCCCATAGCTATTTGGCAATGCGATTAAATTAAGTAAGGCAGGCTGTGTCCCATTGCCAGTGGCTGAGGGATGTGAAACTAGCTATCACACACCTTTCCCTTTTGTTTGTGTTTCAGTTGATATTTGGCTGGTCAATTAGAGAAATACAATCTGGGATTTGAAAGGGTTTTGATCTGGTCTGGGAAGCTCTTATCTTTCTTAATGCTGGCTTCCCATATTTAGAGCTTCCACCCTATACTCTATTCTAGATTTCCCATGTCAAAGCCTAACATTTGTCACATTGCATTGTATAGCAATAACTCTTAGACTTATATACTGCTTCACAGTACTTTCCAGCTCTCTCTAAGCAGTTTACAGAGTCAGCCCCCAACAATCTGGGTCCTCATGTGATGGGATAAGAAGCTCTCAGAGAGTGATTTACATGCAATTACATGCAAAAAAAGTAATGTTTTTTTTAACCTTGGCAATGATAGGAAATGTAGATTTCAACTGGCTGGGGAATTTGGTAGTTCAAGTCCATACATCTTAATGTTGCCAAGTTTTGAGAAAAGCTAAAATATTGTGAAGCCAGCTATGGTCATCTTCATTCTTTCAGTCTTTGAAAACTTAGGGTAAGCAAGAAACAACCAACAGCCAATCAGTGCTTTAACCAATAGAAGAATGCATGTTTCATTCCTTTAATATTGCACTTGCTCATGAGCAGAACTATCTAGACTAATAGAATAAGAGATGATCTTGTTGTCTGTTTTTGCAAAAAAAAAAAAACAGAATTCTGGGTACTACAGATAATTCTCAACTTGTAACAGTTCATTTAGTGACTATTCGAAATTACAATGCTGAAAAAAGTGGCTGATTATTTTTCACACTATTGTTGCAGCATCCCTATGGTCATGTGATCAAAATTCAGACAGTTGGCAGCTGATTCATATTTATGACAGTTGCAGTGTCCCACAGTCATTTCATCACCTTTTCGACCTTCTGATAAGCAAGTCAATGGGAAGTCAGACTCGCTTATCAGCCATGTTACTAATTTAACTGTGCCAAGAAAGGTCATAAAATGAGGCAAAATTCATTTAACGATTGTCTCATTTTAGCAATAGAAATTTTGGCCTCCATTTTGGTCATAAGTCAAGGACTATTTGGCAGTCAAGACCTAATTGTTTTTGCTTTTGAATTTCAACTGGCCGTTAGTATGATGATGGTATGACGCTAGTTTGCATGCCTGCCTGGGCATGCTTCCCAAAAGCTTTATTTGTAGATTGCAATATAAAGTCTTGAAACTGATTAGATAGAGTTGCTCTTAAGGCTGAACTGGAAAAATGAGCTCTGAGTTCGGGCGAGGCAATAAAGCAAAGTGAAGCTAAAATTCCATGATCAGTGAAACAACTGATTCTCAAGCCCTGCAGAGCTCCACTTATCCTCACCTAAGCCAGAAGAAAATGTGCCTGGTTGCTTTCGAGTATGGTGTCTGTGTTCAATCAGCAAAAGTGGCACATGGGGAAGATTCTTAAGAGAAGCTCTCCTTGTCTAAGATCTAGAATGCCTCGCAATAAGGTACGCACTTTGGAATTAGGTGTTTCCAGATGTGATTTTTCTGCAACAATCACTCCACGTTGATCACAGGATTTCATGGCGTGGAGACTTTTTTCCTTTAACTTTTCACATTTACTTTGTGCTTAAAAAAAAACCTTTTCTGTAATTGCAGAAAATATGATGAGGGAAAGATAGAATAGCTGCACATGTGTTTTGACTCATAATGTGAGGAACCCACTATCTGGAATCATTGTTAGGAGCAAGAGATTAAATTGCAGCTCAGTCAAAAATTTGGAAGTTAATTTGGCCATATATATCTATGGACTTTTACCTCTTCTATATAACTAAGACTTTATGAACTAACTTCTCCAGTTGTCTTATATTCTTTGTAAACACATTTTTTCTGTATAAATACCGATTATTCATTTTAACTAACAAAGTTAATTATAATAAACAGGATCTTAGGGCAAGCATAGTTCTGTAACAGGATCTTGCTGTAACTCATATGTCACTGAGTAGGAGAAAAACATTGGAAGAAAAATTCTTCTTTCTACCACTTCACTCATCTATACCCTTTTTCCCTGAAGTCTGCACTCTCCAAATTTCAACCTTTTTTTAAAAAAAAATCTGACTAGGTACCAATGGGGTTGAAGACAGAAGAAACGAATTGCCAGACACAATTTGAAGCAGCTGTCCAGGTCATTCAAGGCTTGCCCAAGAATGGTAAGAATCTCTTTGGGGATCCTCTCAGGTTATTTAGCCCACCTATCCCTCTAAGGGCTGGTACCAAACATAAAACTCATCAGCCACAAAGAATAAGAAGCCAGATTTCTACATTTAGAAAAAAAATTAAACCTGTTATTCTCCCCAGTTTGAGCAGTATGTCTTGATGCAGAATTCTGTAGTTTTTTCCATTCTTTACACATAGCACTCAATTTGGCAGAGGCCTAGTAGAAGGATTTAAACAATAGCGGCTGTTGGTTCATATTCAAAAGTCTGCATAGTAACCCGATTTAGCTTAAGTGACTAGGCCGAAAACCATTGGATTTATGTATTTATATATTGAGACCTATTGCCTCCTTATGAAATGCCCTAAAGAAAAAAAATTATGTGAGATTCAATTGTTTTATTTCCAGTATTGCACTATAGCTGGAAACAGATTGGTGCCAGGCACAAGCAACCAGAATAACTGATGGAGAGGTCCAAGTAGATATTTTATTATTCATCTATTACAAAAATCTTGCCAAACTTTTACTTTTCCTTGGGAAATGGGCAGATATAGACCTAATGGGTTTAACGTCAAATGTTACTTCCCCCAAATATACTCTACATTTGAATGACTTTTAGAGGCACCCCCTCCCATTCAGCTAGTGGTTCCATCACAATTGGGAACCTTACAAATGAAATCCTGCCATCAAATAACTCTTTTCATGTAGGATCCTGAACATGTCCTCCATTTCATCAGGTTCCTATCGCCCTTCGTATGAAGAAATGCTACGTTTTTATGGTTACTACAAGCAAGCAACAATGGGTCAATGCCAGATCCCAAGGCCGGGATTTTGGGATCCTATTGGCAGATATAAATGGTAAGAAAGCCAGTGACACATTCTCCCAGTTCCAGATGAAAACATTGTCTTTTCTGAGGTTTGTTTTGAGCTAAGAGATTTTGTTAGAATCCAGCCTCTGATGCTATTTCAATGCTAGAGCAGGTACAATATCTGCAAACTAATGGACATACATAAGCTTACCCAATTAATATTGTTCAATTGCACTGGATACTAATCCAGTACAAAACTGCTACTTTTGATCTATAAACTCCTATAGATTTGGAGAGGGAACACGTTAATGTGCTGTTTGTATCAGCCTATAAGCTAATTGCAGCAAAATGCTTTTGTCCTACTTTGTTTCACACTCTGTAAAGAAAATAGAATTATGACAATAAGAAACAGGGCTTTCTTCGCAGCTGTCCCTTTGGAATAGCATTATCTATCTACAGAACAGGACAAAATAGGTGGGGATGACATCACCCCAAAAGTCCCACCTTTGCCATTGACACGTATACAAAAAGTGGGACTTTATTCCCAAGGTGCAACTGTCATGTTGCCTATTTTGACACTGCCTCCCTCCCCAACACCACTGACTTTGACTACAGACCGGAAGAGCTACAAGGCTTTTTTTTTTTTTTTTTTTGGGGGGGGGGGGGGGGTTTCTCATCAATTCTATAATTTTATTATTTTTATCATTGTTATTTGCTATTTTTTAACTGAGTTGGATTTAGGCTTAATTATACTTGATGAAGATCCATTATTAATCTAAATCATATCGATGTCAATGGAGTTACCTCAATTCGAACCGCTTGCTGAGCCAATCCGTTTTTAAAAAATTATATTTGCTTTAAATAGTGTCCTCTGCTTGAAATGTTCAAACTGGACTGTAAATATTTTAAAGTATTCATGAAATTGAAATAAAGGGAATATGATTCATAGCATACACAAACTGATGACAGTCATCCCTGTGTGATTATCCCTAGTGCACACACATAAGAAATCCTTAAGAAAGATCCATTATTGAGAGATTTTGAATTTCAAACTAGTTCATCCTCTGGCTGCTTTTTAAAAAAAATGAAGCTCTTTCCCAAGATAAGAGATATTTTGGGGTTTTGGCAGGGACGCCTGGAAAAGCTTGGGAAAGATGACCAAAGAGGAAGCCATGGCTGCTTACATAATGGAAATGAAGAAGGCAGCCCAGAAGGTAAATTATGCAAAATATTAATGTCAGTTGGTAGGCTTTTGATGAGGTTGTACTGAGTACATATGCATGCTTATACTTTTCAGAGGTCCGATATTGTTCTATGTACAATCCATGTTTTATTAATTGCATGTAATATTCTAATTTTCTGAGATTGTGGATTTGGGGTTTTCATGAGGTGTAAGCCATAATCATCTCAATTATGACAAATCACAGCTTGAACTATCTTACTTTGCATGTAATGAGTCTATCTCATATATTAGGTTCACCTTTTAAGTTGCATTACTGAAATAAATGAACTTTTGCACGATATTCTGATTTTTCGAGTTTCACCTGTACTGCTGCATGAGTGTCATTCTGACTTCGCGTTCAAGACATTCTACTTAGAAAAATCCATTGTTTCTGTTTCCGTATTTCAAAGATAAGTATCCTGCCCAATTTAGGGAAATATAACTAATTCTAAAAATATTTAAATGGAAAACAAGCAAGGAGAGAACTTACCAGCTATGAGCTGGAATGCCTTTACTGAGTGCAAGTACTGAGTCTGCTATTCTTCTTTTATGAAAATCAAGAAGGCATTTCAGGAGCCTCCCAAGAGATCAGGTCTTGCTTTCTTTGTTTCAACAATGCCATCACTGCAATTGCTTCCAGATCTCTCATGGGGACCCAGGGAATGGTCTTGTACCATCTGGGATCACTTCTAGATTTTCTGGCAGGTCATCAACACTGTGCCGATGGACGAAGCTTCGGAGGATATGTTTGTATACTTTGAACCCCTCTATAAAGTGATCCATGATATGCCCAGACCCCCTGAATCCTTCTTCAAGAAAAAATCAGGTATGCTTGTGGGTAGCAAAAGCAGATTGAGAGAGAGGCATTTGGGATATTTCGCCAGCAGCTTTGATTAGTGTCAGCCTTGGAATTTGAAAATGGGGAGTTTCATTGGAACGCTGACAATTAGATAGCTATCCTCTTTACATTTCAAGATCCACGACCTAAACTTAAAAGTCACCTTGCTCCCTCCCTTCTTGCCTCCTTGACTTCTCCCGTGTGAAGTCACTTTGCTGATCTTCTAGGCAATTTAGTGCACAGAGTATTTTCTTCTTGGAAATGTAAGGATCTTGATAGATACGTTTGGTTATGGAACATTGGTCCTCTGGGCCAGGGAGTTTCAACCAGATGTTTTTTTTTTTCTTGTGGCCTTCCAAGCCGTAATCTTAGATACTGTGACCTATCTCCCAAATTGTTCAAATAGCTCATCAGTTTGGAGTGAAGCAATGAAAACCTGCTTTGACTTGTTTGGGACTTTGGCACAGGAAGCAGCTCTCAAAAGGTCTACAAAGCAGCTTGGGATCAGTTGACTTAAAAGAAAATTTGGCCTGTACCCAACTCTTAACTTCTTCCAGCAGTGATGAACAAAGGCCACTCTATGTCTGGATTTATAACACACTTTGCAGGTCAGTTAAAGACCTAGCAGATATTCAATCAAAACATACAATACTACGTTTGGTTAGGATTAACTGTGACCAATATTTTGTAGCTGACCAATAATACAAATTAAGCTTGTTTGGTTTATGATTCAATGTATTAAATGAACCCAGAAAAGTAGTTAGTTTAAAAAAAGTTGGGTTAGGGTTAGGATTAGGGTTAGTTCAAGGTAAAATAGGATAAGTAATTCATGGTTCACTGTGCAACACTGCAGACTGGTCTTGGGATAAATTCAGAGGATCCTCAACAAAGGGTTCTCTGCTGTCCACTGGGTCTGGCTGCAGTTTATATACAGCAGTGTAGCAGCAGACAATTAAAAGTTAAGATGAACATTTCCCAAAGTGAAATAACTTTGAAGACATTGTGGATAAAATAAAAGTAGCAGTTTGCATATCTGGCTTCCAAGCACCTGCGAGATGGTGAACTTGCCAGGGTGCCAGGACTGTGAAGGTGCCTAGGAGTGATCTTTTTCCATGCTAAGTTTGAATGCCATTTGTATTAGCAAAATTTATACAGGAAAACTGTCCAGTCAAATAGACTGCATGGCTTGGCACTATATGCTCTCTGCCTTTGAGTGACATCTGAGCTATTCATAGGAGTACCTCCCTGCTACGGCTCTATTTTGGTCTGTATACATAGACAGCTACTATATTGTTTCTGTTTATATTGTTGGTAGCTCAGCAAGTGTCTTTGAGCCATTCACCTTCTCTAACTCAACCCAAATCACAGGATGGTTATGGGGAAAATACATGTTTATTAAAAATTCCATTGTAATTTTGCCAAACAATTGAGAAGAGATACATAGAAGCCCTTTTTAATTATAGTTATATCCTTTTGGTTTCCTTAAATTACTCAAGGAAGAGTGAAAGTCTTCATTTAGCTCAGTGGATGGTGTTTTCTGGAGTCAAGTCTTTTGTATATATTCTAAAAGCTTTTCTGCTAAAATAAGGCAGCTAGTATGGCATATTGGGTAAAGTGTTAGACTCAACTATAGAAGCTCACAAGGTGATTGTGGCCCTGTCATTCTTTTAGCTTACCTATTTCTTAACTTCATTGTAAGAAGAAAATTAGGAAAAGGCAGTTTCAGGAATGCTAACCTCAGCTCCTGAATGAAAAGTGTGATAGGAGTCAAATAAATATGTCTTTAAGTTAATGTTAGTTAATTAGAATATGTCTCAGATAATGGACTTGAGGAGAAGTGAGATATTTTGAAGCTTTAAATCAGTACTATACACTTAGCCATGTGTTTAAGTCTCCAACTATCTTTTAGGAACTTTCTTTAAAGAACACATGAAAAGATCTTTAGAGCCAAGATGTTGTTTCTGCCCAAACTGTTACATACTGTAAGAGTAGTTAGAGTTCTTTGTTTGCTCTACTCTGTGACTACTCCCCTCTCTGCTAATCATCCATTTTAAATCATGTGCTTGACTTGGAATTCCAGAGTCCTGGAAACAGTCATGCCCAGTTTGGATATTATTTGCCTTGTGGCTATTAACTTCAATAAAAAATACTCCTGTGCTTAAATTAAATTAAAGCATGGTATGAAGCAAGGATATGCAAATCATTTAGCAAGAACTAGATTGGTTCCTTGAAGCTTCCAAGGCAACAGATATAATCAAAGACTTGGCACTAGTGTGTTAGGCTCTCTTAAAGTTTCTGGGCATGTGTGCCTAGATGTGAAATCCATCCTTGCTGAGGTCCCTAAAAGCAGCCATATCAACCTTTCAAGGAGCGGGAGAGCTTATTGGCTTTGAAGAACAGATTCAGCAAAGCACTTCATTGAATAATTTCTGCAGATCTAATAATAAAACTAATCCTAACACCAAAGCTACTGATCAACATTGAAAAAAATCTACTCTTTTGCAGTTAAATCAGACTCAGAGACTGTCTCTTTGCAAAACAGTTCATTAGATGGGCCTGCTGAAATCTGTCCAAATCCATCAATATATGAAGAGTACAAGCAAGAAGGCAAGTGCATCTTGTAAAATGCTATAATGGGGGAATGTATGTACCCTGTGTATGTACCCTATAATGCGGGGGGGGAGGTATATGTACCCTATGTATACTACAAGTATTCCCAGTAGATAATGTGTATTCCTTTCACTTTATATTGAATAATGCAGCCGTTTTTACTGTAGGATTATTGTTACAGAGTGAAGCTACTTCATGTCATGGAAGAGGGCAGATTTTGCCTTCACTGCAAGCATTCACCCCATGAGGAAATTATATTTGTATAATTGGAAGAGCTGGTGGCCTATTTCCTGCTCCTTATGAATTCAGTCATTAAGAACTAAGTGTGTAGTGAGAGGGTGAAATTACTTCCTTCTTCAGAAAATGTCTTTTTAAATAACCAATGTTGTAATTGTGATGGAACATTGGATCTTTGGATAGAACTTTATAGACTTGCTCAAAAAACTTAAACTTTCAGGTTTTCTTCAGGGAAGCCATAACAATTAGGATTTCATTTTATGCAAAACCAGAATGTGTTGATGTTTTCATTATGAGCAAGAGATAGCTGATTTGAAGAAGATGGCTTTTCTTCTTCTTCCTCATCCTTCCCATTTCTAAAAATTAATGTCATAAATTAGAAATCAGCCTATTGGCTTATTGATGTCCAGCTTGATTCTTGGATCTTAATGTGTTGTATATAATTTAAGCAATAAGATCAAAGCAGACCACTGTGTATTATTTTCCTTCTCTTTTGTAAATCAGATAAGGTGCCTATGCAATTCAGATTTATTTTTCTTTATAAAATGTATACCCATAGCAATTACCTGACTCTCATGGACCTGACATTTTGCAAAGCCAACTTAAATAATATGCCCACAAAAACAATTTTAAACACTTAAAACTTTAGCCTCCCTTACTAGACCTAATTTATGGGGAAAGACATAACACCTTACATCTGAATTTTCAGATTTTGTAAGATATAATCATCTGCACATGTATTCACAATCATATATATCTTCTCTGTTTCTTCTGATTCTACTTTATTATTTTTATTCTGAGCTGATTTTTCTTTTGCAGGACCTGGCCTTGCCAACAGAGCTAAGAAGAGCAGCCAAGTGACAAACGATTCAGAGAATGAGGTGTTCTGTGATAGCCTAGAACAGGAAGAATCTCATCAGGTGATGAAATGATACAAGGAAAACTATCCCGTCATAAATGTGTTGCCCTTACTGCTGATTACTATTCTGCTTTAATAACAAATATGATGGTTGGTGGTATTCTAGATGTTTGAATGTAAAGCTAATTTTTTTAATCCACCAAGCACTTGGTGGATTCTTCTGTTTTGTTTCTCCCCCCACCAAGCATTCTCATGAGATGGGCAACAGTATAAATTTGATAAATAAATAAACAGCTCAGATCCAGAGATGGCCCATGCTGTTTGTCAATTTGTCTGTCTCTAAACACAGGTCTAGCACTTTTCTGAAAGAGCGCTAAACCCATGTCAAAAATAACCCAACTGCCAAATTATGGGAATGGAGAGAAGCCACAGATGAAACAGGAAGGAGTGATCAATAATAAGCAAACTCCATCTCAGCTACTACTACCATCAAGTGGCCATGGCCAGCAGCACCTAGGATTAGCCTATTCAGTGGGTAAAATGGCACTACCACACCACCAAAATTGCCTTTTGTCAGGAGTGAACTCAAAATGCTTCCCTTGTGACAGCAACACATAATTGGCAGAATCCAACTCTCTTTCCTAGTTTAAATGAACCCCTCTGCAGCACAGAACTAGGGTTCGGATAAGCCTGAGCTTAAAAAAAACACAAGTCTATCCCTCTTCCAGAAAAATATTAAACCTGTGTTTATAAACTTTAATGTTTCAGGAATCCCCCCCCCACTCCAGCAAGGATGGCTTTGGAGGTTAATGCTCAGGGCAAGAAGGAAGTGGATATACCTCTAGGAACCTAAAGAAGCCAGTAGAAACTGTGGATATCCCACTCTTGACTGCACCAGTAATCACATCACTGATGGATCATATCCACAGCAAAAAATTGTGTCAGCAAAAGAGGGAAAAAATATTTTAAAACTGGAACAATTAAAGGCAGATTTAAACTTTTGGTGTGTAGGAGATTAAGAATATGAAGACACAGCATTAAAATGGTCATTGGGCCAGGGCTGTAGCATAGTTAGGAAACCATGAAGAGGAGTCCTCTGAGTAGAATATCCTGATCCTACACTGATAAATGTAATTGTTTAGGGTTAGGGTCAGTTTGTCAGTTTTGCTATATCTAATTAATTATATCACAGATTCTTTTAAAAGACATTTAATCAACCCATGGTCCTAAACCATGTTTATCTAAAGAACCAGCTTTTGAGGACATGTAATGGGTGACTTGCATAATTTGAGCTGTTGAATCAAAGCAAAGATATATGAATTTCTAGATATATGAATTTAGGCAAGATAAAATGTGCAACAGTATCAAAGGTGTTTTTTTAATACAGTAAGGCTTGCAAGCTCTGAGCAGATGACTGAGATAAAAACCCTTGGTTGTTATAATTTTCACTTATTCACACGCATATAAATTGTGAGAAGTAGAATTTGTAAACCTATTAGAAATAACAATAGGGAGATAAAAGGCATCTCATGTTTGGTTTTAGTGTTCTGTTATGGTGGTTTGACATTGAAATGAGACACAGGGAACTGTCTCTGAGAAAAATGCCAACCCTGAGAGAACTCAGGTAGCAGTATTTTTTGAGAAAAAACACAAGCAAAATACAGTATGCATATTCAGAAAACAATGACCTCAACAGGAGATTACTTCACCAGCATGAGAACACACAATCTTGGAAAGTCCCAGATGTTACCTTGCTAGGGTGAGATCATTCAGCCACGGAAAGTCTCATGGGAAAGTTTGGAAAGTCCCATGAGAAAGCACAACTGTGTATCTTGTACCTTGAACTTTCACCCATTTTCCTATTCCTTCTAAACTGGCAGAATCAAAACAGAATGAGGCACTCTGAGCAAAGATACTCCTACCCCCACCAAGAATGCCCACATCTCCTAGACTTACTGCTAGTTATACAAAGGCCTTACAGAAAATGATAAAATGATTAATAAAATATATTACCACATTCTGTCATTAAAAAAAAATTGGTTACAGGGTTCTTTCCCCCCACAGCATTGCTAAGGAGGATCAATCCTCCCGCTTGAACAGTTGGCCTCTCAAGCCCCCTACTTCAGATACAGTAGTTCTAGGACCATACTATGACCCTCCTCTCCACAGAATAACATTTATAATCTCTTAAGGAATTATGTAAGGTTTACAACAGAAAACTAGGTACTTTCCTAACAAATAATCATATTAATTTGAATTGGGAGAGGAAACTGTGGTAATCAAAGTGGCAAAAAGTGATTCTAAAAATCTAGTTTTTACTTTTTCTTTCCCCCATAGGCCAGAAGGCTATCAGGCAAACAAAGCTTTCCCTTGAGCAACCCTCCCAGGAATCAAGCTGCAGAGAAAACAGGATGTAAGTTTTTAGAGAATCCTTAGTTGGAGAAGGAAGGTAAATAGAAGGGACACCTAATCTTTTGCCTCAGAAAGAAAGCAGAGAGACAGGTCTAAGACATGCCTATAGATGTTGTGGTTCATGCATTTGGCAACAAAATCCTGTTTCATCCACGAGTGCAAACAGGTCTGAAAAAGAATTAATTTGCTTTCATTCTGGAGTAATCAAGGCAAAGGTAAAACAAATAAGTTTGGTAGAGAATGTATGTTTTTATTCCCCCCAAAATTGAATGCAACCGTACTAGAAGGACAACCACAATATACTGTATATTCTGTTGTGTTTCCACCATAGAAATAATTCTATGTATCCTATAATAAATTTTCAGAAGGAGTGAAGTACAAATGAGAGATGTTGTAGAATTCTGCCCAGTTACAGTAGAACCTCTGGTCATGAACGCTTCTGACCACAACCAAATTGGGTTCCGACCAAAAAATTCACAACTTTTTTTTCGCGGCCGATTTCCCCTTCTGCACCTTTTTTTTTTATAAGTGCCAAATTTCCAAAATTAGGTTCAGGTCATGACTAAATCGGGTTGTGACCAAAGTTATGGAACGAATTATGGTCATGACCAGAGGTTCTACTGTATTTTACTAAATATTTCAGCCAGAGCCAACCAGGAATATGACCACAATCTATTATGCACTTCCATTTACATATTAATCAGTGGAAAAGAGAGGGAAATTATGCCAAGGCTGAGATCATTTGGAACTAGAGCTGTATTAAAATATGGTGAGAGCTGAGCTTGGAGGTTTAATGAACCATTATGTGAAAGTCCTTTTCTATTGAGTATCACTCCTATAGAAAGATATACACCACTTTTCCTTCCTGATTTGATGGTTTATTACAAGCATTTTATTTGAAAAAATGTAGTGAAAATATGTCTTCCCAGTCTAGGATCTTTTGTTTAAATAAAGGATAGGAAACATATAACAATAATTCCGTTAAAGTTTTACTCATCAGAGATAGATAATCTTGTGCTATGTTCTTATTCTACTTCTTTTTTTTTTTTTTGAAATTTTTTTGATTTTTAGAAACAAACATAAACAAACAACACATAAAACATAAAACATAAAACATCTTTTTTGAAAGCAGCTTGATCCTGGGTTACATCTCTTCGTACAGACACAAATTCAAATTCATGTTCATTTTATATACCATTCCATATCTTGTTACCATTCTACATTTTCTATATAGCTTCTCCCCTCTTTTAAATGTCTTAATTTTATTTTATTTATTTCATCTCAGTTCAGATCATTATACTTATATTCTTTGTCTGTCCTGTTTCCAGCTGTCTATTATCTTTTCTCATTAAACAAAATTTCTCCTGTAATCACTGATTGGAATATGACGCCTTTATATCTTTCCCCTAAATTTATAACCCTTAATATAATACATAACTTCCATTCGGATTCTGCTTAGTACATTCTAAAATTACACACTATATTTTAAAAAGAGTAAAAATTGTAAATATATAATTAAAACTACAAATCCATGTCAATTCAACTCTATTGTTAATATTAATATTCATTTAAATCTTAAACATTTTACACATTACTTTTCATATAAGTATCATACTTCTGTGGGAACACTTATAAACTTTCCATAGTTGCTTATTTTAAACATTATATCATTGAAGTGTTCCCATTCCTTCCTAATTCAATTCTCTCATTTATTTCATTTCATTTATTTTATTCATAAAAGTTTCACTGAGTTACACTGAGTATTTTATCCCACTTTTTAGTCTTATGTTATTTCCAATCTTCTAACATAATTTCTAATACAAATATAACAATACAATCTTATGTACCTTTGCAGAATCACCTTTTCAGTTAGATTTTTACCCATTATCTCTAAATAAACCCTGTTTCTTTACTTCTTGATTCACACCTTTGTAGCTTCTCTTCCCTTCCTTCCTCCCTAGCTTTTTCTCTCTGCCCTTTTTACCCCCTTGTCTCTCCACCTCCATTTCCCTCTTCTGTGTTCCTTTTTTCTGTTGCTTTCTAGCCTTATATCCACTTTGCACCTTATTTTTCCCTTTTTTGGTTGTTTTTGGGGTCTTAAAGTCTCCATTCTCTTTCCCCCCTTTCCCCCTTCTTCCCTAATTAAAGTTACTTGTTCATCAAAGATGGCTTCTTCTTTGTCCCAACCTTGTTGCGCAGTCAGTTTCTCATAGGTACAAATCGCCATTTCTAAGAAGTGAAAAACAGAGCCAAAAGAGCCCTTCCCTTCTTGTTCCTCTTCTTTATAGTTTTTGAATTCCATTTTCAATTCATCCACAAGCAATGCCATTGTAAAAAAAAAAAAAAATATTCAAACAACCACCCAAGTGTTTTTAATCATTTAGATATAATGTCCAAGAGTCCCAAAGTCACCAAGCAATCCAAATACACACAAACTGTTTCTTTTAGCACTTTCTTCTTTTTTAACTTTCTCTTCCTGGGGCTATTTAGTTACAAAGTTCCAGTTAAGATGTATCTTTTAGAAGTCTTATTAGAATTTAATCAGATTCTTGTAAATTCCAGGCAGTCTCCTCCTTCCAAATCTTATTTTAATTCTTTTCCTCTCCCTTCCCACTTACAGCAAGAAGAAGAAAAAAAATTTTTAAAAAAATGTTCAGAAATCCTTATTGTCCCCTTGATATTTAATTATCCAGTTTAAATACCTCTTAATGCCAAAGTGGGTTTTTCCGATTTCTCATAAGTTCGCTGTCAACGTAAGGAAGGAGAGTGAAAAAAAAACTTTCCCTTTTAACTTTCATTCGGCGCTTCTGAGTCTTCTTAGGGAGCGATGTATCTTTTACAAAATTTAAATTCCAGGGTACCTTAGTTGTTGCTTTTGTCCCGGTCAGCCAAAAACTTTCACTTCTTAACTTCCTCCTGCACTTTCTTTTCCGGCTGTGTGCTTCTTTGAGGCGGCCATTTCTGACTGCCGCTCTTACCGCCTTCGGAAAAGGGAGTTTAGCCGGCTGTGGGGGAGAGGTGCGATTCCTCTCCGCCCTGCCAGATCTCCCCTATCTTCACCAACCTCTATGGGGTGGCTTAGCCCCGAAGCCGGGTGGCTCGGGGCACTCCAGCGGCAAGCGCAGGCAGAAACCGTGCACGATCGCGGATTCCTGCCTGCCCCGAAGCACTACAAACCAGAAATCTCGTTCTTATTCTACTTCTTGTTGGACTCTTCTGATTCTTGTAGCAATAATATCTTCCAATTTTGTCTTTCATAGATATATTAGGACAATACCTTCCAAATTTTCAGTCAGCAGAACATTCAAAGCACTTAGACAATATCCAGTTAGAGAAAAGCATAGATGAGAATTTACTACTCAAAACAGGCATATTTACCAGCTTCCAAAATCTGGGCTAGGCTAGGCTATTTGTAAACTCAACACCAGAACTGCTTGGTAGTCAGATATCCACCACTAATCATTACCTCCTTGAGGAACTTTAACGTTATTCAAGAAGTTGGAGATGGTGGTTTTCTGGAGCACGATGTACAAACCCTGAATATCGGTATCCTTCAACAGGATTGGGTTGGCCTTGTACAGCATATGGTTCAAACGGATAATGCAGAGATATCCTTTCTTACCTTGGTTATATTGGCGGATTCTCCTCATCAGCTCAAGTTTTCGCCTAATGGAAGATTAATTAGTACGGTAACATACCAGTATAGATTCAGCTGATCATTATTCTTCCCTCCAGTTTTTGCCACTCCCTTGCCTTGTTTTTGTTGATTGCCCTGTGTTTGATTAGCTTAAAACATTAGGAACTGGAAACAGTGTTTCCTTTATTTTCATCACTTCCAAACAAGGTTTGGCTCTGCCATTTTCAGTGGAATATATGAACTTCTCATTATTTATTTATTTATTTATTTATTTATTTGATTTGTCAATTGTTTACAAGATAATAAGTATAAGCGTATACATAGTTGTGAATACATGAAATGGGTACATATAAGAAAAATAAAAGAATAAGAGAAACAATAGGACAGGGACGGTAGGCACGTTGGTGCGCTTATGCACGCCCCCTACAGACCTCTTAGGAAGGGGGTGAGGTCAATAGTAGACAGTCTAAGGTTAAAGTTTTTGGGGTTTGGAGAAGAGACTACAGAGTCGGGTAGAGTATTCCAGACGTTGACCACTCTGTTGCTGAAGTCGTATTTCCTGCAATCAAGTTTGGTGCGGTTTACTTTGAGTTTGTATCTATTGTGTGCTCTTGTGTTGTTATGGTTGAAGCTGAAGTATTCATTGACAGGTAGGACATTGCAATGTATGATTTTATATACCATGCTTAAGTCAGACCGAAGACGGCGTAATTCAAGGTTTTCTAGTTCTAGAATTTCAAGTCTGGTGGCATAAGGTATTCTACAACGAGTAGAAGAGTGGAGAACTCTCCTTGTGAAATATTTCTGGACTTTCTCAATTGTGCTAATATCAGATACGTAATGAGGGTTCCAGACTGATGAACTGTATTCGAGTATTGGTCTAGCAAATGTTTTGTATGCTCTGGTTAGTAGTGTGATATTACCAGAGAAAAAGCTACGTAGGATTAGGTTAACAACTCTTAATGCCTTTTTGGCTATGTAGTTGCAGTGGGCTCTAGCACTTAGATCATTAGAGATGAGTATTCCAAGGTCCTTTACAGAGCTTGGGTCATCAACAAGTTCTTGACTATTCAGCTTGTATTTTATTTTCTGATTTTTTTTGCCAATATGTAAGACAGAGCATTTATTTGTTGAGATTTGAAGTTGCCATTTGTTTGACCATTCAGATACATAGTCGAGATCTTTTTGAAGGGTAGCAGTATTGTTTTGATTAGTTTTGATGCATTAGTTTTGATGCATTGGAACCCCTTATATTTAGGCTATCCACCCTATAATTGCAAGTGGAAAGAGGCTCAAGTAAGAAAGAGAGAAATGCTGCATTCAAATGAAACCATGTAAGTCCCTTAAATCTTATTCGCCACCTTCCCATCTAAAACTTTCACAGAAGGATAGATGTGGTATCCAGGCTGATTTAATTTATGGGACACTTTTAATTTAAACTAGCAAGGTCTCATTATCCTTTTTTTTCTTACAGCTTCAATGGGTCTTTTGGCTACATCTCATCTTACACACCTGCAGACTGTCTCACCTGAGATCAGCCAAAACCCTGAAGCTATCAGAGAGAGCCAGATAAGTGTCTTGACCCAGAAGGACATGACCCTGCAAGTGATGAGCACCATTCAAGCTTTGCAGCAGGATATGAAAAAAGTAATGGAAAGACTCAACTATTTGGAATCATGGGCAGCTCTGCAGGTATATTGCTTCCTTTAACAGCTGACTAGCATGTTGGTTTATAACAGGACAAACCAGAAAGTCCAAAAGCAACGTATGAACAATGAATATGTGGGGGACAAGTTGCACATCAAAAGTCTTGGAGTTCTTGCATTGAGATTTTGGAAACTGCAGCTCTACATGTTCAACCCTAATCCTAAGCATGTTTGATGAAATAAGGAGACATAGAGTGAAGAGAGGGAGGGGAGTGGCTAAGAAAAGGAAATATGGGACAATGACAGGGAAATTTTCAGAATTACAGTTCTAGAACTGTAAGCACGGAGTACTCTGTAACAAATTCTTTATAAACTAATTCAGCCTTAAAAGAGCAATAGGGTGCTATTGTGCTGAAGGGCTGCCCACATTGCATTAGTTTATTAAAATAAAATCCTAAACTAGAGTAGAATAAAAATGCAAATAGAAGATCCTAATTTTCCTCTAGTACTGTAGTGCATTTTTTCATATGCTGGAGCTCTTAATATCTTCATCAGTACAAGCAGTACAGTGCTTGCTTGTGTATTAGGATCTTTAGAAAAGAATCTGATATGCATCAAAACTGTATCTATTGCTCTGGAAGAAAGTGGGCAAGATCTTTTTAACTGGCTCCATCAGGGTCCCTGAATTCACTTTCCAGGGAGTTTTTTCAAACCGTCTTGTATAGGGCCACAGTGGTTTAGCTGTTGAATTCTGCTTTGTATTATTATTCTGTTTTGTTCTCAATATACTTCTAAATCCTCACCTTTGGTCCCAATAATGCCACTGCATTTATCTTTATTTTTGTCTGTCATACCTAGCCCCCTCCTCCTCCATGTTGTACTGATGTTTCTGTACTGTTATGATCAGTGTTATTTTATAACCCTACTGACTATCTAGATAAGTTGATATTTGCCTGATTTTACACTAACTGGCAGTGGCAAAATCTGTTAAGAGAAGAAAGCAAATGTTTCTGTAAAAAAACACAAAATATTTATATTTAAAACAAATACAGAACAAAAAAGGCATCTGCCTTAATTCACATTATTGTATAAATGGATATAGGCAAGAGTTGTAAAATTATATACAATTGCCAAAGATACTGATTTTAAAAATTGTTAAAAATTTACATGTATCTCTGATCTCCCATCCATGTATAAAGTTACTCCCAATCATTCTGATATCTGAACTACACTTTCAACAAAATTGCTTAGAAAATAGAATGTGAGGGGAATGTCACAAACATCTTGATTTTTCTGTCTTTCAGCACCATACATCTACGTTAAAATCTTGCCTTCCATCCAAAGTATCTGATGCAAAGGTATGGGAACTCCTGGTGGGAATTTTTCCAAATGCATTGATACAAGCAAATATCTACCGTGTTTCTCCAACAATACGGCCTCCACCAATAGGAAGGCCCAGCATGTTTTGGGGGCATAAAATCAAATTAAGCCCCTCCCCCCAAATTTAGGCCTATCTTAAAATATGCAAAATAAGGGGGAAGGGTGGGAGACTTGCCATTAGGAGCGCCCGGCGGGCAGGAATTCCTCGCCACCAGCCGCTCCTAACGGGCGATCATGGCGAAGCGCGGAGAGCTCCCTACTCCCACCAAACACCTTTGCTGCAGACACCTTTGGCACCCGCCGCTGTTGCTTTCCCTTCTGCCCATTCCGCTGCCACGTTTGGAGCTGGCGCTTCCGTGTTTGGAGTGCCGCCGCCATTTGGAGCTCCAAACGCGGAAGTGGCAGCTCCAAACATGACGGCGGGCGATCTTTTTATTTTGGTCTGCGCGAAGTTCAGAGCGAGCAAGAGAGGGAGACTGCGATGCCTCCAT